GTGAGGCAGGTGAGGCCTGCAGAGCTGTAGATGTTCTTTTCTAACCTCCTGAGTGAGTTATAGACATGATCAACTCCTGGGAAGCTTCATCACTGGTCCATGTTTCCTCCATCTGCAGATTATTTCTCTCACTGTGGCTTGTTGGAGTCCGAAAGCATCAAAATAACTTCTTTGCCCTCTCCAGACTGATTTTTTAAACTTTTTTTAGACACAATAATTTGCTTTCTGAGATCTTTTAGCTTACTTCATGTTGCCAGACATGTTCTATAAAACGTATACTCTGATTCTATAGCCGCTTTTCTTGTAATCAGGAGTCCAGTGACTTTTTACTTTACAAATAATCATCAGACATGGTCAGATATAACCCACAATCGCTGCTCACCTGGTAAATTAAAGACAAAACCTCATCATTTACTCAAGTCTGTCATGGTATTGTGTGACAGAAATATCATTTTTAAGCTGGTTTCCACCAGCTTGCTCTGTTTGTGTTTGTCCCTCAGCATTTCTTTCTCATGCTCTCTCACCCCATTTCTTACTTTGTCATTGTAACAACTCCCGATGTTTCATCAGTTCCTCTTTCCCAGCATGCATATTGAGAGAATTTATTACGCGAGACATTTGGGTAGGAAATCTGCATTTTCTACCCAAATGAAACTGAAACGCTGGGTTCTCACAGCTTAAACCTTTGCTGTGAAAACCCGGCGTAAGATAAAAACCAGCATCACAGAAATCATGGATTTAATCAATTTATCAGCTCTACCAGTTCACGGTTAGGTCATGACTCACTGTGCTTTTTTTTTTTTTTTTTTTTTTTTTGACCTGACGAGGTTACAGTACGTTTTTGTTTCTTATCTTACAGCTTTTTTTTTTTACATCAAAAGACTTCTAACATTTTCAAACTTTTATCAATTGCTAAATTAACCAACAATCATAACCACAAATCCTCCTTCTTTTTTCCCCATTTTTCTACATTTACTCTTTATTTTTTTACATCTGCATTAACCCACCAGTAACCTGCTGCGTCTAATTCTGCTTAGTTTTCTTTTTAATGCAAATTCATGAAATGCATAGTTGATTTGATTCAAAACTGCATGCACATAAAAATGATTTGTGTCAAGCTCTTTGACAATCATTCAGAGGACCTGACAGATTATAGATGTTTTAGTTTAAAAACTAATAAGTCTTGTTTTAGCTCATATCTATCATTTGATGGATAAACAAAACAAAACAAAGGAGCATGCTAACCACAAAAAGCTCAGACAATACATGTAAATATATCGTCTGCTAGAGATGCGTAACTATCATGACGTCTCGTCTTTGATGAAACATCATAAAACATTTTGCTTCCCGACCCCCCAGCCCTCAAGCAGACTTGTGGGGTTATGTTGAGACCGGAGATGTTGAAACATCTCCTGTCTCAGGTTTATGCATTTTTGCAAGCATTTAGAAAGATTTACATTTAAGGCTGTGGTAGGTCGCAGTGTGTGAGAATGACCTTTCCATAAATCCACTGAAAACGGCGCGTCCAGCCAAAGAAACCGTCCTATGGAAGAAGAGTAAGACAGCAAGAACGAACCGTGACTCTTACTGGGATAGAGTCAGTGTTTCTGTAGCAAATTATATTTCTGTCTTGAATTCTTTCTCCTTTCTGAAGTGTTTAAAAGGATAAGATAATCAGGCCACAAACATCTATGAACTTCCTGATAAATAAGCTTTTACTAGTTTGCAAGAGTTGACAAGCTTACAAACAAGCCTTCACATAAACTGCTGTGACGTTTTCTGTGTGTGTGTTTTAAAAAAAAATTGGTTTCAGCATTGAAAAAATGTGCTTTGCTGTTGGCTCCTTGCAGTTAGAAGGGGGGAGAAAAAAAATTATTTGCTTCATCGAACTGGTGACGCCAAGAGAGCTATCTGCTGCAGGGATGGTATCTACTGGCCGTCGCGCCTATTAGAGCTGAATGTTTTGAGTGAAAGGGAGCAGGAAATGAGGCAATTTTACGACCCCTTACTGTGACCGCGCAAAAATATATATACATATAAAAGTCCAGTGGCAATTGTGCAATCATTCACATCACTGTGAAGCATTCAGCTGTAGAGAAATTTAGGGACATTTTTAATGCAAGAAAAGTGCCGGAACAGCAAAAAAAAACAAAAAAAAAACGATTCGATGATTAATCAGCAATACATTTTAACGGCCGTCAACAGAAACTTTATCGCTTCCCAGCATTAAAAGCCTTATAGACGGCTCAAGCTTTCTGTTTTCACGCGTACCCTCAAAAGGTAAATAACAAAAAACAAAATCTCATATATAAAGTAATATTCTGTCGCTTTGTCTCCACAGGGTTTGTGTGTGCACTGCAGAAACCCGCGTCTGGGTGCAGCAATGGCTTCCAAGCCATTGACGGCAAATGCGAAGGTACAGTTCTCACACTTTGTGTTCCTCTGTTTTCTGTGACACGATGATTCTCATTCAGAAATGGAAGTACGGTGGCAAAGTGTTGCTTTGCGGAGTAAAAAAAAAATATTTATTTTGTTCAACACTTAAGTTATACTGGCATCACTTAAGCCTCAATTAGAGTTCTGATATTTGGAAGCAGAAATGTTTGTCTAGACATGCTTACTGCTTGCTATGTGTCTCAAACACTAAGTCTCAAAATTGCAGATATAAATGAGTGTATTGAAGATGCTGAATTATGCGGGAAGCACGCAAAGTGCATAAACACCAATGGCAGCTACCACTGTGAATGTTCTGCTGGTTTCCGCAATGAAAAAGGGAGTCCCAGGTTTACCGTTACGGAGGGACAGTGCACTGGTAAGTATGGCATCGACTATGCTGCAAACGGATCTGAGAAATTGAATTGTTCCTAACGGTGTTTGCGTTCTCTCTTCCGTCAGACATTAATGAATGCGCCGACAACAATACAACCTGTGGTCCTCATGGCACATGCAGGAATGTCATTGGGCGCTATACGTGCGTCTGTAACGCCGGCTACGTTAGCGCAGACGCCAGAAACGACACTGCGCACTGCAGAGGTGAGTGCTACTTCCTCTCTTCTTTCAGTTCTGGTCGATGGGTGTTCTTACACAATCTGGAAAAAAAAAAGAAAGAACAAAATACGATCCAAGTGCTTTCCAGCCTTCCAGACTTTTTCTTCTGCTCTCCTGTCGACTTTTTCCTTCCACCGACCAGAACTAAGTATAGAGCAGCCATCCGCAACTGCAGGTCCGCTCGCTCCCTCCCGCTGTTACCAACTCATTATGAAATGATAACAGACCTTCCAGTCCGTACATACACAAACACTTTACGCTTAAGAGGCGCTCAGACATCACGTCACTCGGTTTATTCAACAGAAACCCACTTGATGAACGCCGAAACGAGGAGTAACAATAACATAAGCTGAGAAGATTTATGAAAATTAAGAGGCTCAGTCGCCTTTGCTATACAGAACGAAATACCTCTGAAAGCTGCTAAGCAGACGAGAGCAGACCAAGTAAGGCTGCATTAACAAAACCCTGGCGGGCACTGGTGGATTTCATTGGTACTAGTTGTAGGAAGGAACGAAGAATGTGTTTTCTTTTTAAATACCAAGGATTGTTTTTTTTCTTTTGTAAATAATGACAACTAGTCTTGGTTACCAATGAGATGCTCCCAGGCTGAGGAAAAGCTAACGTTTTAAAGTTAAAATGCTGTGACTCTTGGGGAACGATGCTGCTGAGTAAGAAATAAAGATATTACATGCGATAAGTGAATGATTTTCAAGATTAAATACAAAGAAATAACCAAAACAAACAAAAAAAAAAAAAATAGTCGTTCTTCACAATTTTCCAGTAACCTCTCTGTGGATAAACATTTTTAATTACAAAGTGTTTCACTAAGTGCTCTATTTAACAATCTTTTTAAATGTGCAGCCAGCAAGATAACAACAGCTCAATATATTGTGGGTTCAGAAATGCCCTAAATTGCACATCATTGCTAAAAGTCTCTCTTTTCATCTCTTCCACAGATATAGACGAATGCAAGAAACACAAAGACATTTGTGGAGAGAAAGGCAACTGTGAAAACCTCATTGGGAGTTATCGATGCAAATGTGATGCAGGGTACACCAACTACGGCCAGGAAAGAACCAAATGCTTAAGTAAGTAGAAACGCTGCTCTACCCATGGTAGAAAATACTCAAGTCGGCATTTTATTGCTTCTTATAAACCATATCTATGTCCCAAAGAGTATTAGGGTCACACTAAGAAATTACGCAAGAATAAAGTCATAATATTGCGACTTTATTGTCGTAATTTTATGACTTTTCTCAAAATACAATACCATTATTCTCACATTTATTCAATTCTGTTCTACTGTTGCTTTATTCTTGTAATTCTTTTGTTTGTGTGTTACATCTGTGACGCGCTCTGTCCATGTATTTCTGAAGAAGTCACTAGATTCTCATCTTCAGATCTGTTTGCTTACATACAGCAAGAACCGGTTCGGTTCGTCACAGCTGAAAACAAAAACAAAAACAGCCGTGTCCGTGTTGCGTTTCTTTTCGCTGTCTCTCCGCAACAGTTTTATTGTTGATACTTCTTGAAATCCTCAATCTACTTCCTGTAGTAGATAATCTTACCTCAGATCGTCTCGTTTTTACTTGCATGTTTTACTCGTCTGTTTTCGGAGCAGGATTCAGATGTTAGAAACGCTGCGAATGTCATGCGAATGTTTGACTTTTTCCTTTTCTCGCAGAGCTCGAGTGCGACAGCTTTAGCGCCGACAGCGATCCGGGGAAGGTATGTCTGGACGCATTATCAGCGAGGTAGCCCTCATGTTGAGAATGAAGTGTGTGGGGGGGGGGAAGGAGCATAACGGCAATTAAATCTCTAATTTCGTCCAAAAACACACGCTAATTTTCTCTGTTAACGAACCCAGCGAAATAAATTGTGGTCAACAAGGAGTCGAATGATCTCTTTGTTCCTCTTGTCTCCCAGTCATTTGAAGGGCTGGCGGACATGTTGTCCATGATGAGGAACAGCTGCTTGGCTCTGTCCGACCCGAGCTTTTCTGCTGGTGGAAAGGCTGACGGCGACGCGCTGCTCGAGGTTAGAAAAACAAAAACCTCAAACTCCCATACGTTCTGAACCCGCATGCAAATTATCTGTCAACACAACTCCGCCGCTGGGTTTCTGATTTAGCATTTATTTCTTTTGGTGCCAGTAGAGGCTTATTAAACAGAAAATTCCTAAACACCAGTGCAGCGAGGGAAATGAGTTGAAATGAGCCTCAGAAGACTCACAAATGGAAACCAAACGTTCAATAAAAGCAGATTAACTGCACGAGTTTGAGAAACAAGTCAGCTTGGGTTTTACATTATTTATCATCTGTGGAGAGTGGGCCTTTTTGTAAGTGTAGTTTTATATGTTTCTGCAGTCGTGCAGGCAAGTGCGCGTGCTATTGCATTTGTGCAATAACTCCTTGTTTTAAGAGAAACGGTTAACATTCTCATATTAAGGTTTTAATTTTAAAACGGCAACAACAAAAACAGTAGTTGATGGTTAGAATTGACCTCTTTGAGAGAGGAAGCCATGTTCAGATTGGTCATCTTTCCATTCTGACCATCTCCACAGGTGACCCACAGGGTTCTGTGTTTGGACTAGCTACATGTATTTATGCTTTTTTTTTTTTAATCAGCTTCAAGAAAATCTGTCATCTTCAGCCATTCTCCACTCTTACTAAAGTTGTTGTTTAAGGGTTTTGATGAAAAAGAACAGATGTTCAAACCCTTCAAATAAATTGAAGGATTAGAGTTAAATAAAAATCAAAACAAACCGCCCCCCCAACAAACAGTGTAGTTGAGGAACTTTTTCCTCAAGTAAATGCAACTGGTTACTACCTACCTCTGTATTTATGGAGACGAAGGGGGAACCATAAAATATCTGGGTAACACTTTATTTGATGGGGTGGGCATTAGTCTTACATGACATAAACATGACACAACACTTGTAATACAAAGTTGCTCTAAAAGTTGCATTGAAAGTCCATTAAAAATGCCAAGTTTGCATTAAAGTGTCATTTTTTACAAAATAATACAAAGTTGGCACTTTTAATGGACCTTTAATGCAACTTTTAGAGCAACTTTTCATTGACAGTGTCATTATTTAATGAATGACATTTCATGACACCAGTCATAAACATTCATAAAGACTTCTTTATGTTCATAACAGCTGTTATGTCATGTTTATGACAGTGTCATGTCAGTTTTATGCACATCCCGTCAAATAAAGTGTTACCAATATGTGTTTAGATGACCCAGCTGGCTTGCAGTGACCCTGTTTATTTACTCTATAATATTAGTTCTTCTTTCTCAAAGGTCAATTCCGTCTTTATGCTGATGACAGCTCTGTATTTATGTTGATTTTTTTATTAGTCCACCACTGCAGTTACGTGCTCTAATGTCTTTTATTGCATCAGTCTTGAAAATCAGAGTTCTTTCTTTATGTATTTCCCGATAATAACTAAATAAAATCTAACCTTCACCTAGTCATTTTATGTGGCTCAACACGTAAAAAGGAACTAGAACAGGTTTAAAAAAATGTCTCTGTCCTCCGTCTCTGTTAGAAACTTCTGACAGCGACTGACACCATCCTGTCCCCTGGACACATGGAAACCAGTGAAGGTGTGAGTGGGCTGCTCAGTGCTGTGGAGAAGTCCGTTTTACTGATCGGTCCTCAGCTCAAAGGCAACGGCACCAAAATGGAGACCAGAGAAGCGGGTATGTTTCAACCAATGAGCTCATGGTTTATAATAATTATAATAATCACAATAACACTGTGTCATATCTGTCGAAACAGAAGCTGAAATTACAGTTCAAAGAGGAGCTACCCGCCCAACCGGACCAATCCATCTGACCAGTGAACATGCTGATCTCAACACCGACTGGACAACAGCAGCTGGCGAAGGCCCATATCCTGGTGAGCGCTTGACTCTGATAAAAAGGTCATGCTCACCTTCAAAAACATAAACTAAACCCGAGCGTCCCAAACAGGTTTCGCTCTGGCCGCATTGCTGAGCTACAAGAACCTGGAGGGGTCCGTAAACAGATCTTTCGAGGACCTGAAAGAAAAAGAAAAAGAAAAAGAGGCTATTTCCTTCCAGGTCTTTTCCAAAGTCGTCTCTGTCGTGGTTTCCAACCCGTCGACTCAGAAACTGCACAGTCCCGTCAACATTACTTTCAAACATCTAAAGGTAGGTCCAACCTGTTCGACATCAATTTTGTTTTTTCTTTAGTCCTCTTTAATAGAGTTTGGGGAAGTGTGAATGCATAATCAAACTCTGCCTATAAACCCTTCAGTTCACTTCACTTCACTTCCTGGTTCAATCAAAGTGAACTCTGGTGCGGTTTACCGTCATATGTGGATGCAAGCAGACCGGAGACCGCTAATAAAAGCAGGAAGTGGACTATAGCACAGGGCATTCTGGGTAAACACAACCAAAACAAACACAATAGTCTAGCGCTAGAGGGAGAAATGTCACATGGTCAAAAGACAAAAGAGAAATCCTTCAACCAACAAAATCTCATGCCAATTCATTTTTGTTTACATTTTGTGTAGAAGGAAGTTGCACTTTTTCAGAGGTTTTCGTGTCGTTTACATCAGTTGTTCTTGTTGCAGCGCCACCACAGGCGAGGGGGGGAACAGGTCAGGTCTTGCAATTGTTTGGATTGTTTGACACAGTGCAGTGTGAAAGTGAACCACACCATCTGAAAATGTAACTAATTTTGCAACTTTGGTCCCCAGTTGAACCACGTGTACAAGACTATAAGGTGTGAAAACACCCTAAGAGATCTATATTAATCTCCTCGTTCCTGGTAGCTCTAATTCCAGCTTCTAAAATAACGGGAGACTGCAAGAAAACAGTCTCTTGCCTGGTAATGAAGTCATTACCAGGCAACTTTCAGAGCTTTCTCTGAAATCCAGTGAAGGTATAAATACACCACACACTGTATTTAACTGTTGGTTTTGGTTTGCACATTAGGACATAAAGCAGACCCCCGAGGTGAGCTACATCTGCGCATACTGGAATGAGAGAGGAGTCTGGTCCCCAGATGGCTGCACCCAGAAGCTGTCCAACGACACACACACTGTGTGTTCGTGTGAACATCTGAGCAGCTTTGCTGTGCTGATGGCCCTTTATCCCATGAAGGTAAGTCACAGATAATACCAGACAAAATGCATTATTTTTTTTTCAAATATGGGAACTATGCAGAAGCAAGAATGTTTTTGGATGAAAAAAAAATATATCCATGGCATTAGGTAAAATATATGTATGTTTGAAGTTGGTGTGATACAGTAACCTTTACTGGCAAGCAAATTGGTGGGACGGTTTTGTCATGTTTGGTGGAGGAATTTGAGCCACGTGAAGACGAGAGGATCACAGTTACGTGTTGAGATGAAGGTTCATTGAAGAAATAGAGTTACCGATGTCAGGAATGGGCTCAAAGAGAGGTTTTTTTTTTAATTACTGGGAAGGTTATGATTGACTTTAGAACCACGTCAGGCTCAAACTAACCAACAGAATCTAGAGGAACTCAGGGAAGTGACCAATTAGCGACCAAAATGGTAAACTTACAAACTTAATGATGATAAATAATGCCTTTCCAGACATACTCGCCACTCAAAGTGTTTACGGTTTCAACTTTATGGGGTCCCAAGCATTTTTACAAGACAGAACCCATTGAGATTCTGACGCAAACAACCAGATTCATTCAGTTCGAATCATGTGTTCATCATTTATGAAAGGGTTGTTGTAAGCTGACTCGTTTTCTCTTGCAGACCAGCTTTCAGCTCCAACTGTTGACCCAGATCGGCCTGATCATCTCCCTGGTTTGCCTGGTGCTGAGCATCCTGACGTTCAGGTTCTGCCGGTCCATTCAGGGGACGCGCACCACCATCCACCTGCACCTCTGCCTCTGCCTCTTTATGGCGGACCTCGTCTTCTTGGTCGGGATTTCTCGAACCAGTCCAGAGGTAACACGAACCAGTCCGGACTGTTCAGGGCTCACAGTAATTGACATCTTTACTAATCTTAAGAATTCATGCTTAGACCTGGCAAACTCCAAGAGGAAAGTAGATGAGCCAAAAATTATGCTAAAGGATTAGAGATGTTACTTCAAAACAATATTACTTAAAGAGGGGTGTTTTGTTAATCAATTTTTTGGCATTTTATATCATGTTGCAACGTTATCCCCTCATCAAAAACATACTTGGAGTGTTGCTGCATGTTTGAGAAATATGTGAATCTCCCATGGCAACCACTCTGGGTACAAGAGCGGATGTAGACGGCACATTGAGAATGATGTGCTGAAGAGCAGAAGGTTGGAAAGAGGAGGAGCTTCTTAAAGAGACAGAGACCCAATTTCAAGGCATCAAATTCCGAATCAAATTTCTTTTAACTCATGATTGATATAGACAGCATTTGTATGCCGACTGAAGATAGCAAAGTGACGTGATTGTGCTATGAAATAACACTAAAGTACATAATACTTCCTCACTTCGTTTCCCCTTACAGAGAGACAAACAGCAAGACATTTAGCTTGATACTTTTTCTTTCTTTTTCGTGTCATTTTGTCTTCCAGGGCGGCTGCAAGTTTGTTGCCGCAATGCTCCATTTCTTCTTCTTGGGCGTAATGAGCTGGATGCTGTTAGAAGGGGTGCAGCTGTACAGAATGGTGGTCCTGGTGTTTAACGCCACCATCCGGCCCCTCTACTTGTACCTCACCGGTTACGGGGTCCCTCTGGGGATTGTTATCATATCCGCCACCATCAGACCGGGGGGCTACGGCACTAAAGACCAGTAAGTAAACATCTGCGCTTTGTAAAAAAAAAAAATGTTGCACATAAAAGAAGTTGTTGCTTTACAGTGAAACCAGAAAATTCATGTCTTGCTTGCATTTCGTCACACTATTTGCGTCAGTGGAATTCAAACACTTTCTGTTATCAGCTTCTGTGACGTGAGCTGTTTTTTTTCCCTTCTTCTTCTTCTTCTTGTTCTTCTTCTTCTTCTTCTTCCGTCTCGCTACCAAAGCTGCTGGCTGTCCTTGGAGCACGGCCTGATCTGGAGCTTCTTTGGCCCCGTGTGCTTCATCATCGCCCTGAACGTCTTTTTCTTCATCGTCACTGTGTGGAAGCTCGCCCAGAAGTTCGCCACCCTCAACCCAGACCTCTCCAAGCTGCACAAAATAAAGTTAGTCTCTGCAGACATTCGTACACCTTTGCAATGAACGGAAAACAATTTGAGTCAGAAAAAAGGAAGGAGATTCCCTACTTCAATCCCGTCTCTCTAGATCGATAAGCTTTGGTTTTTTTTTACTCCTTTTCCACAGCACATTCTCAGAAAAAGTGTTCAGCTGTGAAATTCATTGGAGTCTGAAAATGTCCTTGCTTGGGTGTAGAAGCTCGTAGGGGTTAGTGTGGGAAATTTAAAAGAAATCATCCTCCTGCATGAAAAGCAGCCGCTTGACGAAGCGGCCACAAAGCGTGAGATTGAGATCGAAGAGGGGTCGGTGGGTAAATGAACAGATGGTGGAGTTGGTGAATGTAGCGAGAAGCACCTTTTCAATTGGAAGAAGCTGAAATTAAAGAATGGCCTATGAAAATAACAACATTATAATTAATCCCTGGGAAAATTACGACACTTCCTTAATCTTCTTCAATTATGACTTCTGCTTTTAAGGTTTTTTTTTTTGCATTACGCAACCCAACTGAAAGTACAGCATAATAATGAAGGAAATAGGAAGTTTTCAAAATTGCGCTGCTCCCTTTTACGTCTTAACGCTAAAATAAGAAAAACAATGGAACTAATTTCCTTCTAAAATCAACTAATTAGCAAATAGACTCAATCTATGTTAGTGATGTGCGGTGAGGTTCATACCTGGTGAGGCACCGATTATTACTTAAGGAAATTTTGCGCATGCGTACAACGCTGGAGGGCAAAAAGACTATTCTTTAACATGTGATGTTTAGCCGCGCCGCAGAATAATTCAGTTATCTCAAACTTAGACATGTAGATATTGTTAATTTCCTGCTGTGCTTAACAGCAAAGGGAGAAACCGTTAAAGTACAACTCAAAACCACATCTTTCTCGCTCTCTGTATCAACGCAGCTACTGTATGGCTTGCTCGCTGTTACTGTCTTACTCTGCAGTTGTGGAGTCACAATGTCTGGGTTCATGAGCGCCACCAGCGATGAGGCAAGAGAACTGCCTGCCTCACCTCGAATCTGTTCTCTGCCGTTTTTGATCGCTCCTCAGCACACGAAACACGCTACACACACAGTTGGTGACAATAAAAACACAGTACATTAAATACATAAGCTGAATTAGGGAAATCAGTTCATACATTAAATGTTTTTAACCATTTTATTGGCGACGTACAGACAAGAGGAGCATGCTCTCATAGAATGGCAACCGGTGTAGTTGGCGAGAGGTTGCGCAATCCCAGGTGAGGCTCAGCTTCCTGCTGCCTCACCGGCTTCGCTTCTGAGCATTTGAATGGGAAAATGCGAAAATCCAGCGATTTTGAAGAAAAAATCATCAGAATTGGTTAAGCTACGTAAAACAGAGGTACTTTATAGTACAAACCACAGGGTGAAAATATCTTTATAAATGATTTTATTATTATATATTATTTTTCCCTGAGGACAGAGCCTCACCTGCCTCCCATTACCGCACGTCACTTATCTATGTGTAATCTAACTGAGCACGGTGCAGGCCACCATTTAAAAAAAATAAAAAAATTTAAAGGATATGACACACATGCAAACTGACTTTTCCATTCAAAGAGCCATTTTTGCCCCCGCTGCTACAAAAATAAAACTCACTCAGAGCCACGAAAAGCAATTTTATAAACTTAACTATGAATGTTGACAAAATGACGCTAAAATGTATTTCTATTTTTATATTTTAGAACAAAGTGAATCACCTTTTACAAAATAAAGGATATATGCTGAATGAGGTATGAAAATGGAAATCGGTAGCGTAGTTTAAAGCTGGATACTTTTAAGAGCCTGTTGTAGGTATTATATTCTGATTTTGCATAAGAATTTCTAGGGGAAAAAAAATCCTAAAACAACAATTTCTTCATCAAAAACATTTCATTTTTGGTATTTAAGAGCCACAGTTGCGGGCCCCAGAGGGTCACAACTTGCATAGGGGAATCTGATGACGGGACGGATATTAGTTATGACCTCCAAAAATCTGGAAGACTAGAAAAATGAAACCCATTGCTGAAAGAAAGCCGTAAGAGCTGCTTTCTCATCTGACCTTCTGAAAATGGTCAGATGAGACCAGAAATCAAAAGAATCAGATGTCATGTCCTGGACTTTAATAGAAAATCTTAACTTTAACATACATGTATTTTTTCTTTCTGCTTCCTTTTGAGTTTAAGGTTGTAAAGCAAAAAAAAAAAAGTACAAATAGGTTCAAAGGGTATCAACTTCTCAAATCACAGTAAATTACAAACTGAAGCTATTAAGCAACAAATATGTTCACCGGTTCCTTAAATCCAGATTTATCTCATAACTCTTTTCTTTTTTTTTTTTTTTTAATTCAGTTGTTGGTTCCTGTTTTGTTTAGGCTGCAGTAGATTTTAAACTGAGACAAAGGTTCACCTTCCGGCATGACATAAATCTAACAGAAGGTGTGAGGTCAAGACTTGAAAAGACAATTCTGCTCAGGGACACTGCAGTCTGATTGAGCCTAATTATACCGAAAACACTTGTAAATGGTTTCTACAAATTAAAAAAAAAAAGAAAAGTCTCAAAAAAGTCTTGGTAGTGGCATTTCTGTCATCGGGGACTTTTTTCGCAGACGCTGGCAACATCCGAGTCACGAATGAGAAATCTTCGTCTGTGTTCTCTGCCAAGTCCCGTCTGTCTGACTTGTCGTTTCGTCCTGCAGAGCTTTCACAGTCACCGCCATCGCCCAGATGTGCATACTGGGACTGATGTGGGTGTTTGGAGCCTTCTTGTTCAGCGAGGGCATGACGGCGGTCGCATACATCTTCACCGTCCTCAACAGCCTGCAGGGTGCCCTGGTCTTCATCATGCACTGCGTGCTGTCTAAACAGGTAGAAAGGATCTGGAAGATGTTTGTGGGAGTGAATAGTGTTGGCAGGAAAAGGATAAGTTCAACATAAAAAAACAACAACAAAAAAAACCCCACCAACCAGACGGGCGATTTAAAAAAAAAAAAAAGAGGAGAAATGTTTTAGAGATCTCTTCAAAAATGTTGTAAATATGAGATTGAATGACGCACAGCGATATGAATATTTCCCCGTGGCTCTGCTGCCCCCTGCAGGTGAGAGATGAGTACGTCCAGTTCCTTTCGTGTGTCTGCACGACGGAAAAGAAGAAATACTCAGACTTCAGCAGCACCAATCCGTCCAGCAGTCAATCTCAAGTAGGTGCCGTTTCCCGCCTCACATGTATTTAATAAGCTATTTATCTGTTTAGTTGAAGGTATTTATAACAAACGCTACTTTTATGATCGACAACTAAAACCAGACAGCTACGACAGATCCACTTATCACAGTCTTAGTAATATGTTGAAATGTTCTTTCTTTCCTTCTTCCAAAGTTTTCCATTTGGAAAAACTCTTGTCTTGAATGTTTTCGACAAAAACGTAACATCAGTTAGTGAGTAACACACACCGCGCCCAAGTGTCTGCAGATTTCACCGAAGCGACAATCTATTATTATTATTTGGATATAAAGACTTATCTGGTGAGGTTTGAAACGGAACATCTGTACTGTGAATCATAATTAGTGTCATATTTCATTATAATCAAAGACTGTGATCTTCCATCCCTCTGCCTTGCAGTACATTATGTCCTGCTGTCCATTGGGCTCTAATAGCCGATTTTAAAATCTGGTGAATGTTAAATCTTTCCTCATGACATGACCTGTTTCCCTGTAGGGTTCCCGGAGCGGACAGATCACAGGAGAATCCCAAATATGAAGAGCTTCATCATTTCTACCCCGCCTCATGGGCGGAAAATCACTCCTGCAGACTGTTAGGGCAAAGACTGTCAAGGTTCAAATCACCTAGAAAAACAAACGTCCTTCTGTTGCCTACATTTCAGTCACTTTTAAATTATTATTCTTTCAACCTGCCTATTGTTGACCCGTAGAAGAGCAGCAAGAGCGATCTTTTATTTAAAAATTAAACAGAAACACAATAAAACAGAAAAAAAAAGAAAAAAAAAAACATTGAGTGAAACCATCAGCCGGTTTTAGGATTTGGACTTTTGCCGTTTTTACTTTTTTGAGACTTGAGTTAAGGGTGATCAGACTGTGAATCGTGAAAACTAAACCCTCCATCTCGCCTGCTCAATTCTATATTCAGTTTCACTGCGATGAAAAACTATTTTAGAGCCAAAATAAAAGACTTGTTCGTGTTTGCCGTGGTTTCAAACATTGTAAAAGGACGAACTTTTAATAAATATAAACAATTTCTCGTGACTAAACGGTGCCCCCTGCTGACTACTAAAGCAAATGCAATGTTTCAGAAATGTCTTTATTTGTTTTTTGACAGTTCTGTTTAAATACTCTGTAAGGTCTATGTAAAATACCATAGGAAAAACCCCCAGAAAATATTATTTAATTATGCAGACCCACTTCAATTTAAAAAAATAGGAACAAGACACCAAAATATCATCTAGAGAGAAAAAAAAATAGGTCAAAGGGTTTGATAGTTTTTCATGTTTTTACTGCCATTCACAACTGAACAAATCGTATGTGATGTGATTTATACTGTAAAATGATCCAGGTTATTTTTTTTTTTAAAGTGAGCCTTAAAAATGTTTATTCAGGAGTTGTTTGAGTTACATTGACGCTGCGTTAGTAAGCAAAAGTAACTCGTCAGTTCAACCGGAACATATCACAGTTATAAGCTGTACTGCCGTCAGAGCAACTAAAACGGAGTTTTATGGATTTAGACATATTTATTTCAGAACGCAGACAACAGGAGTTAATACACACGTGAGCAGATAGTTTGCACTGTATTTTATGTAAATGTTACCTGTACAAATAGTCGTTTTTGTTGTTTGTTTTGTGCGGACCATAGGGGAAAAAAAAAAGGTACAGAATACATCAAAAAGTAAACTTCTAATCATTCTGCAGTGATGGGGGTCATGAAATTCACACCAGATGTTGGCAACAATTCAAGTTATCCTCAAACGTTTACCACCAGGTTAGATTAAAATAAACTTTTTCCCAGTACAGAGTGAAAAACTAAATATAAACTAAATATGTAGCACTGTTTTATTAAACCTAATAGTGCACAGATAATTCACAATTTAAGAAAAGAAGAAATTCATTCCTATTGAATAAAATGAGACTGTCTGTATGTTTCCGTTTGTTTTTGGACATTTTCAAATATTTACAGATTTTTATTTTTATGAACTTCTGAAATTTTTAAGCTTATCGACTGTTGCTCAGTCATTTAGGACTGACCCTGTCGATGTCGACCACCACCACTAGGGGGCAGGAATTATTACAAAAACGCTGAGATTTCGTCAAGTTCCTGTAGTATCTAAGCCTTTTTTTTATTTATTGCAATGTATTAATTTTAATGCATTTCATTCTTATGCTATGTCTCATTATACATGTTATACATACTTTCTGACACATTTGTTACAGTTTTGTTGTATTTGTGGCTAAGTTTGGCTTCCTACCAACGTCTGGTGTGAATGTTGTGGCAGTAGCCAATTCGGAAACATATTCATCTGGAGAAACGTTGAAGTGTTTGATACTTATTTACCCGGCTGTATTTCTGCGGTATTTGTTTTCATGTACTGTAATTGAATATTTTTGCTTTTAATGGGACAGAAACTCACACACAAGCCTCTGATTTCAAACAAAATGAGTGATTTAATCACTTGTGGCTAAAGTTAAATCCTCTGTCTTGGCTTATGACTGAGCTTTCCTGCTCTTTTATTATTATTATTATTATTGCAATTGCCAACCATGTAAACACATCTGGGACAGGATAAGAGCTTCGGTAATCAACAAAAACGGGCCCACCCTGCTGATAAGGCTGCAGCAGCTTCCCCCCATCATGCAGTGTTTATTGAATAAATGTCCATTTAATTACTGTGTTCTTCTTTTAGATCTTGTGTGTGTGTCCAGGAAATGTTAGCTACTGTAAGACTGAGGCTTTATCGCTGAAATGAGAGCTTAGACAGCCATAAGATCTGTACAGACCTGAGTTTGTTTCGTATCATTGCACTTTTCTGTGGTAAAAAGAAATATTCAGCACAACTACAAGTTTTCATATTGTTATGTAATAACAGAAGCAGTCACACTTGCAGAGCCGAAATAGTTTTAAATATAGATATGCATTTTAATTTTCCATCATTCACATGTGTTGAATGTTAGACATGGAAAATGCCTTTTCAAAAATAAATTAGAGGCTTTCAGAGCTCTTCCTATTTATGTTCAGATTTCAATGTTAACCCTTTGTTTTACCCGCTGTTCTTTGGTTTGTAATTGTCACTGTTTTTATTATTATTTTTACCGTTTTTATTCCTGCAAAGCAAAAAGTTGTATTTATGCTAAAAAAAAAGAAAGAAAAAAAAGAAGCAATGTGCAGCTTTTTTAAATGAATGTAAGATTCCTTATTGTTAGAGTATAGAACAGCTACATTTATAAATATGCTTATTTTTTTTACTTTGGTTCACTTTACACTATTTGGTACTTTTTCTTCAATAGATATTGTCCACAATTCTGAATAAAGCTTTTTCTTCTTGTGAAAATCTGATTTATTTGTGTGCTTATTATCAAAACTGTCTTTACAGGCTAATTCAATTAATTTGTGTCTTATTGAAAAGTTAATTTACTTAATAAAGTGAAACGCATTCAGTCGATTAACTGCACACTGACTGGTGTTTTAGGACTTTATTTATATTAGTTAATTGTTTTTTCTGTTTACACCTTTTTAAAAAACATCGCTGAAGGTTGAAATATATTAGAGCAATAAAACAACTTTTCAACACAGAAGTGTGGACTCAATGAAAAGTATGATCATCAGAAGAAGCCCTGTTTTGATTTGGCGAGTATGACTGAAACTGGCGAGTCTGAGTGAGGAACTGCAAGTCTGGGTTTGACTGGAAAAAACCTAAACCAAACAATCACCCACAAACTTATGAATCAGATATTCATAAGAGAATCAGACATTCATAAGTTTGTGCCTCACAACATCGCTGTCATTGCAAAAGGTGTGTCAAAGCATATCTTCTACACACCTTTACAAGTAATTGTCTTGTTTTGTACAGTAAGTGATTTGAATTTTTCCATTAAATGTAAGGAAATGAGTCATCTCACACTCATGAGTCTCAAAAGGTCTTACAGTGGACTAGACAAACTGAAGAAACCACACAAGGCTGGACTGACACTAGATTTGGCACAGAGTTTTCATTTATAAGCTCCTAATTTGTTTTCAGACATCTGGTTAGAAGCTTACATACATCATGGGGATTATTGTTATATAAATAAGCCTGATGAAAACCACCCTCTCCTTCTACACCTTGCTTAGTTCTGAGAGTCTGGAAACGACTTTAAATTTTACCCAATTGCTAATATTTGTCCGTGACATACAGTTTCAGTGCTATGAAGCTTACCTGCGCTGTAAACAACCATCCTTCACTGCCAGGAGAGAAGTGGCGAGCTGAAGCTAATGGCTAACGACTAATAATGTTGATTCAGTATATATGGAAGCGTTGCCAACATGACGTCACATCGCCCGCGACTTCTCCTTTAGTTCGCTGATTGGTCCGGTTAAAATTCCACCGGAAAAAATCCACTTCAATGGGAGAAAGCTTAGACTGAACAGAAGAAATCCAGCGGAAATGGCGCACGAAGGAAATGGGGTCAGGCTAATACATTTGGAGCTTTTAATTATTCATTTGAACGGCCTTTATAAATAGTAATACAACATAAACTTTTGTAATTTTTTCCCCATTAAGTTCAGACACTTTTAAAAACACGAATTGGATTCACAAGATTAAATCATCGTTTTTCGAAGTGAAATCCGCGAAGTAGTTACCTTTAGTTTTACAATTATTATACAGCACAATTAAATACTCTACATTAAAACCAAAGAACAAAACCTGTTTTCAGGTCAGCGGTGTGCGTGTTCATCAATCGGGCCTTAATGTGATCCGTAGTCATGTGATTAAAGCGTCTCCTCCACGCTGCACCGCGAGATTCACAGCTGTATCTGCGGCAGAGCGATGGATCTCGTCAACCGAGCCTCCGGTCGGGTTTTGCGCTGTCTCTGGCCACAGTTTTTTTTTTTTTTTTTTTTTTTTTTTTTTTTTTTTTTTTTTTTTTTTTT